TATATATTGCAGGTTTCAGTCTTTAATATTTCTAGTATAATCTACAGTTAATAGTAATATCTTTGCTTGAATTAGCTTTTTGCAGTTTTTGTTTAAGCTCGTTTAATTATCTCTTAGCATTTTTTTAGCTCGATCCGAATATGGTTTTTGATTGGAACAAACGTTTACGACGAACGGCTGGCCGTTGTCGATGCAAGCCTGACGGGACAGCAGTTATTGAACTTTCCACCAAAGTATGCAACACTCCAGGTAAGCAGTTAGACTTTTTCAAAGTACCGAATTCTCGATAATTAACTTTTTGAGTATCGAGGGATGAGGGGGGAATTTATAGAAATTTTAAAAAAAGCGGGAATTTTGTGGGGAAATTCGTTTGTTTGAAAAACTCAAATTTCATAAAATTCAGCGAATTTCGGAGTTTTATTTGTGAATTTTTTTAAAAATTATTAATTTTATTAATTTTTAAAATCTTATAAATTTTATACGTGGTATGAATTTACGAATTTTCAAAATTTTTGTGAATTTTTAAAGTTTTTTATACAAGCTTAATAAAGATATCGACAACTCAAAATATTTTCGAAAATTTGGGCTTTTCCTATACCTAACAGATATTTTAATCCATCGTGGTAAACACAGAAAATAAATTTGGATTTCAGCGAATAGGCTGAATTTTAAAGTTTTTTAAATATAAAACATAAAATTTTCTGCCCTACCTCATCCTTTGAGGGGATAAATAACAGATAGCTCATTTCTGAGTATTAGCGCTCCTGGCAGATAATAGTGAAATGAATCAAGGACTGTTTTTAGGACTGATTTTGCCAGATGGCATGTGTCGGACGGGGAATTTTGCCCAGGGTTTGGTACATTATTCGCTCAAATTTAGGCAAAGCAACCCGAAAAATCGCTGTACCCACCACCTCTTTTCCTTCTTTTCGTTAATTTTTTGCAAAAAAAAAAATTTTTGATTTCTTCGAGCTGCTCAACTTGTCAGGAAGGATCTGTCCGATCGAAATCAGCCCATTTTTATGGTAAATTCAAGTACCAGTAATTGAGTTTGATTGCAGAACGACTGCGCGATACAATGCTACATGAATTGTGCCATGCTGCTGTTTTTGTTATCGATGGCATATCAAAAGGTGGCCATGGACCAGCTTGGAAATTTTGGTACCTGACTTCCCCTATTTCTTTTCTATCCTTTTATTATGCTTTTTTTTGCATCTGTGCAATGCAGAAAACGCATATTGACGAGGGATTGTATGTGTGTGTGTGTGTGTGTGTCCGTGTGTGCGTCTGTGCCGATTTTTCATCTCAAGACCTACAAAAGCTGAAGGGCTGAGGCTGAAACTTTGGGAATTTAACCTACATGCACGTACGGGCCCCAATCCCCAAAATGAGCGCTCTTACCCTAGTGGTACCCAAGTATGGGCCTCTGAAATTTTTTTTCCAGGAAAGCTAAAAAGCTGAAGTTTTAAGGGGGTGTTTCCTGACAGTCCTAGGGGCCAGTCTTAATTTGTTTAGCTAGAAGCATTTGCCGGAAAAACCGGTGCCGGTAGCGACAAAAAC